TTTGTTTTTATGTTAATTGTTTTTGTGCTTCCAACTGATTTCAATAGTTTGTTCATATGTTGCTTTGTTACACCATGGTCACAGATAAGAGGAGTGTTGAGCGCTCACTAACATGTCTAACCCCGCCACTTTCTGTATATGCCTGTCCCATATCAGGAGCCTGTAATTCATTGGTTGTTGATGGTTTGTCTCTGTTATATCTGTTGTTCATGTATTGTTTTGTCATAAATCAGACTGTTAGGTTTTTCCTTTGAATTATGTCGGAGTTTTTTTGTAGCTCACTATATGGTATGGATTTTGCTCATTGTTAAAGGCCGTACGGTGACATATGCCTGCTTGAATCCACGTGATTTGGACTCTGTTGGATGGTTGTCTCATTGGAAATCATTCCACATCTCAATATTCTCTATTTATGTATCTTTTCTCTGCAAATATTTTATTATCTGAATGATAGAATGCATTGAGTACGAATGCTTTGTCATCAATTATTCGAACCAGCCTTTAATAATTCTTTTTAAAAATTGGTTCCCGTCAATTATGCTTTCTGTCATTTTTGTAATTATGCTTTCTGTCATTTTTTGGGGGTATTGATCTTTTTGAAAAGAATTCTCTTCAATGATAAAAAAAACCCCAAAAAAACAATTTGAAACTTCGCAAACAGATTGAACAAGCATGCTTGGCATATATGGAGATACCTTTTGCAAATTCAGCTTTTGAAAAACTGACTTCAGTTGTGCCTGCTGGTGTGTGATCAATAGGTAGAACGGTGGTACATGATTTTGTAATCACCAGTCTGAAGGAGATTTAGGCCGAAACCTCAAGCAAGTCCCTAACATAGACATGATCTTTCTGGGCTTTCAAAGCCTCGATACACATTTTTGCTTATGCCTTTCATATTTACTACGGAAGCCCCGAATTCTGGTCTCTTTACAAGACCGACCGATCTGATTTTTATTCTACAATTATAACAAAAAGAAAAAAAATTAATATAATGTTTAAAGTTATGAAAAACAGACACATAACATATTCCTCCGAACAAAACAAACATCTACAAACTTAAGTGACCGTTTAAAATAAATAAATCAACTACACAAAAAGCAACAAACAAACATAAGAAATATATTAAGTGACAACTGTCCTGGTTAATGATCTAATTGCGTTCGCAACAAAATGATTAACAGTACAAGTAATTCTGTATTGAATAAATTCAAAATTTTGACTTAATATTTTTATCAAATTCTTATTTCTGCACAACGACATACATTTCACACATGGAATTTGTCACACATGAACTGTGTCTTATTGCTTTAATCAGAATACAAAATGTGTGATAGTAACACGTAATAGTTTTGTTTTCAATAAAAATGAAGTAAATTTCGGGTAAATTTTTAGTTTTGCTGAAGTGCTGTTATACTTATACTAAAATTATTTAGATATTTTTCGCTTTTGTTATATTATATATCTAATATATAAACCATATTCTAAGTACTATTTCAACCACCAAAAAAGAGCACAATAATTTTTTTCTATGTTAAAGATTGCCCGTACAATACGGTATATTGGGGTACCCGGTAAAACACGTAACTGAGAAAATCATGACCTCAGGATCTTACGATGACAATCATGATTGTAAAATATAATGTTTATCCTGTATATTGCAAATAAATGTTGGCGCGTGTGTTATTCCGTAAACATAAACCCTTAAACTAGAAGCTTTGTTTGGTACTTGGAAGTCTACTATACGCACCAAACATATTAAGACTTTGCATGTAACTTATTTGATATATATTTTTGAAGAAATCACAAACCCTAAAAGATCGAAATTCAAAATGGCGACTTACTTTAGTGACAGACCGGTAGACCGTGGAATATAACTGTTCAAAATATATGACGACGACCATTAATTACATATCAATTTAAAATTACATTGTGTTACAAAGAATAAATGACCATATTACGTAATCTTATATTATTGTTAGACTTCTTATGAAAATGTGCAAAATGGCAAATAAAACTGTCTGATTCATATTTATCAACAGATTGTCATGTAAGCAGCAGTAAATTTAAATTGTGGTTTTTGAAATCACGTAAAACATTAGTTTTAAAACTAAATGTTATGAATAGAGAATGTCTAGTGTGCTAAACATCAAATTTTACTAAGAAAATCAAATTCTATATATCAAGGTCAAAGTAAATGCTCGCGCAAGAAAGCGAAAAGCACGTATACATAGCCGTATAAAAGAGAAAAAAAGCTGATCATGAATACATACCATTGATAAAGGCATCGAGAGACAGTAAACCAGGTATAATAATTTTCAACTTAACAGTTATAAGCTCGAGTAAATATCAACTAACTAAAAGTTTCACATATATAAACATTGTTTGGTTATGATATCAATTAATATGAAAATGTTTACTTTGCATGAAGTTTTTTTTAAATCTTGAATTACATGTCACAACGACAAATAGTTCTACTTACTTCTCAAATGTTTATTAAATTTTAAAATTTATTTCAGGCAGGATGAATACTTTGATTACCTATGCTGTTCTTTTATTGACCTTTTCCTTTGCTAATGCTGTACCCAAATTTGTCGGCGGTAGAGGAGGTCTGTTTTTCTTACATAATGTTATTTTGCTCTTTCCGATCAAACAAAGGACATTTTTAAAAGGGTTTTGCCTTTTAACCTTTATTTTGCAAGTTTTTTTTACACTTGTAAATTTAAACTATCATTTGAAGCATTATGATTGACATGCAATTTAGTTCAAAATAAAAAAAATCTAATTAAACATGATACTTTTTGTTATAATATGATTATTATTTTTTTATTTTGAATCTAAGACTTAATTTATTATTATGACAGCTTAAAATGGCTAAGTAAAGTATTAGAAATGATTTTGGTTTGATTAACACCAAGTGACTTATATTTCATGCACATACAGTACGAGAACAATTAACAAAAATGTCAAAGTGGTAGATTCTGAGAACTGAGCCGACTGTAATCTTGCAACTGGGCAATCACGGATTCCTCCGTCAGTTATTGCAAGGATTCCATACCATACAAAGTGCGTGGAACTCTCCCAACATAAGCCTTTGATATAAAGCATAAATGCCGACTTTCTCATGTAGAAAGAAATGGCTCTTAATAGGAATCTTAGCTGCTAACAACAATAATTCAGATTTTCCCATTCATAATTTTAGTTTGTAATGATTATTTTGTCTGTAAAAAACGATTGGGGAAAGAATAAATATAAAAATGTGGCATCAAGTATATTTACTCTGTCGATAACAAAAGTCAGTCAGAAAAACTTTAATAGAAAAGTAACAGAAAAGTTTAATAGAATAATGCCAGAATAGTTTACTAGAAGATCATTATACAACTGAATTTTGTTTTGCTATCATTCAACATAGTTGTATGAATTATTTCAGTAAGTGGTTCAATCAGTGGGGCAATTGATGGATCTATTGGCGGAAATGTGGGAAATAGCTTCGGAAGTGGAATTGGTGGCAGTGGGGTTTCTAGTTCTCTCAGTGGTGCTCTAAGTGGAAACTTGGGCAGTGGCATTGGAAGTGGAATTGGCGGTGTAGGTGTATCTAATTCTCTCAACGCTGGTCTAAGTGGAAATTTGGGAGGAAGTCTAGGAGGTGGGCTTGGCGGCAGTGCACTATCTAGTTCACTCAACGCTGCTTTAAGTGGAAACTTGGGCGGTGGTATTGGGAGTGGAATTGGCGGCATTGGATTATCTAATTCTCTCAACGCTGCTCTAAGTGGAAATTTGGGAGGTAGTCTAGGAGGTGGGCTTGGAGGCAGTGGACTATCTAGTTCTCTCAACGCTGCTTTAAGTGGAAATTTGGGAGGTAGTCTAGGAGGCGGTATTGGCAGCAGTGGCATATCAGGTTCTCTTGCTGGTGCTCTAAGTGGAAATTTAGGAGGTGGAATTGGTGGTGCTGGTGTCGGTGGAAGTATCTCCATTAGCATTAATGCCTACCTTAGATTGATGTACTATATCTCTGCTCTACAACAAGCTGTCACTGCCAATACCCTAAGAGCAGGATTAAGTGGTGGAATCAGTGGTGGAATCAGTGGTGGAATTGGTGGTGGAGTAGGAGGTGGATTCACTGGTGGTGCCGGATCTAACTTTGCTGGACAATTTGACGGTGGAATTTCTGGTTCTGTTGGTAGAAGTGGATTCGGAACAGGAGTAGGAAGCAGCGGATTTTCTGGACAATTTGACGGTGGATTTGCTGGTTCTGTTGGTAGAACTGGATTCGGAACAGGAGTAGGAAGCAGCGGATTTGCTGGACAATTTGACGGTGGATTTGCTGGTTCTGTTGGTAGAACTGGATTCGGAACAGGAGTAGGAAGCAGCGGATTCGCTGGACAATTTGGAAGTGGATTCGTTGCACAAAGTGGAAATACCGGAGCCATTGGAGGAGCAGGCGGTTTAAGTGGAGGACTATCCGGGGGATTAAGTGGTGGACTTTCTGGGGGACTAGGAGGTGGTGCAGGAGGACTTAGTAGTGCAAGCCTATCAGGTCAGTATTCGATGTTGTTATTAGGTAAACATGTCAAACTACATATTTATACAAGAGCTCTATAATATAAATTTTTGTAATGCATTACTTGATATGAAGGAACGGTATTAGTAGGGCTATCAAAAATTTTATTTCTAAAGTGCTATTAATAACATTATCTCTTTATTATTCATATACACCGACCTAAATAAAATTACTCTTGATCTTTTTTTTTAAGGAAGGGGGGGGGGGGGGGGGAGGGGGGGTTGGTAGAGTTGAAATGCTATTCACCCATGTGAATGGTAAGGCCTTCAATTTGAAATTAACTGTTTTGAATCGAACGCCAATGATGAATCTTATGTAGACGAACGACACCACTGGTGTACCTAATTATGAACCTGAAATTGGTATTCAATGAGTATTACTACACGATGTTGTATTTCTATTCTAATTAGTACTCCATTTATAATGTTTATGTCGATTTCAGCTGCTCTTCAAGGAAGTGTAAGAAGTGGATTCGGCGGCAGGGCTGTTGGAAAAGGTGAGCTTTTTTAAAAAAAATTAAAAAATAAGAAGATAGATATAATGAAAATATCTTAATTAGATAATAGTAACATTATCATTACTTTTACAGTATAATTAAAAGTTAGGGCCAATTTCCCCTCAATTTGTTTTAACTCACTGGGACAAAACCCCAAAGTGATTAAAACCTGCAATTCGAATATCAAAGAGTCGATATGATTTACTCCAAATGTTTTCAGAAATTTTACATATTTACATGTTACCTTACAAGCAGAATGTATTTATCCGTATAACATATATCACAATAGCTGTCTAAAACAATGATATTTTTGTACATGTTTTTGTAATATTTTACATCGCATTACATTTTTAACTAAAATTAATTAAATTCTATCTAAAAAATATGCATTTATAGAATGGGAAATGTTTTTTTAATAGAGTTAATTCGGTTAAGAATATCCATCTGATAATTTTTTTGAATATTGACTCAAATGTTGTGGAAATCTATGTTAACTGAAGTCTTGAGCCAGCCGTAGGCATTTGGTAAATTGTTTTGAATTAATCAAAAAGTTTGTGAAAAGTCAAAAGTACGTCATGAAGAATCACGAAGGACTTTTAGAAAATGACTCTGGTGTGAAAACATGAACCTTTAATTTGCCTCTTTAGAATTTTTTTTTTTTATATATAATGACGTAAACCCAGCCACATTTTGTATCTTCTTGTCCCAAGTTAGGAACCTGTAATTCAGTGATTGTCGTTTCTTGCTTCTATATAATATTTGTTTTTCGTTTATTATTTTGTACATAAAACAGACCGTGAGTTTTCTCGTTTGATTTGTTTTACATTTTTCATTTCGGATTTTTTTTATAGCTTGATATGAGGTAAGGGTTTTGCTCATTTTTGAGGGCCGTACAGTGACCTGTAGTATCTAACTTCTATACTAGAAAAATTAAGGATATGAGGTATCCATCCATGACACAAAATCAGTACATGTACAGCAAAAAAACACATAAAAAGCAAAGGACAGCGCTTTTAGTGCTGTTCTTCATCTCAAAGTCACAGTCAGGCCTCAACACGGGGCAAAAAAACTCTATGTCAGTTTGTGTCTGGTGGAGAGGTTTTCATTGGCAATCTTACAACAATATTCTTTTTTATACACCCAAAAAGGAAAAGTCAATTACAGTGCACATTCAGTTGGTCTCGCCCACGGTGTCAAACGCTATTCGATAATAATGAAATGTGAAATTTTGATAAAAAAAAAGACTTCACAATGTACTTAATAGACATCTCATCAGTTTTATATCAATTGATACAAAAAAGTTTACATAGTGCTATGCATATTTTTGTACTAAATTTCTCATCGAAGAACATTCAAAATAAAAATGGATAAGTAAATATATTTGAAATTGTACACAGTATCCAGGGGAAAAAAGTGATAGGTAAAGTTTTGTCGAGTGCAATCTCGGTTTATTTTTGTTTAAAGTGTATGCAAAATGTGCTGTATTTTTCCATTAGATATACTAATATAACATTTGTTTTGTAGGATCAGCATATTAAATAACATATGTATATTTATCTGACGGCTGAAGTCGATGAACGAACAACTGCATTTCATCTCTATTGTATTAACTTGTTATTAGAATAAACATTGTCATCATAAGTCAATCGTGTTTAGTGTTTTTTCAGAAAAAACCAAAATACAATCCACGTCTTATGACCAACAGTAATAATTATAATCCTTGTTGTTTAGCTGTTTGATTTTTCAAACAATATGTTCATTGACTCTAAGACTCCAATTAACTGTAGAGAAATGTACGCTAAATAAGGAAGAGAAAACGAAAATATCAGCAAGGAAAGGCAAATCTACAATAGAAAAAAAAAAAAAATCCGTTTATTAAGATAAATAGCGTAACAAGTCTTTATGGTTCAAAATCAGCGATCTCTTTTGATTAGGACATTTTAAGTCAAGAAGGATTGCTTAAATTGCACTTGTATATTCAGAAGATCTAGATACTTCAGAGATGTCTAAATATCTCCATGCATTATCACAAGTTCCTAACAAATATTGGTCGTTTGACATTCATGCAGAGTACTTTTAGTAAGCATAATGCTCCAAGAGCATTCCCTACACCAGGTCAGGTCATCGGAAAAAGTGAATTGCCCCACCAAGGATACTGTTTAAAAGCGGTTACAAGAACTTCACTAAAAAATCGGGACTACAGTAAAATACATTGATAGAGGCTTCTCTCGTTATTACAACATCAGCAAAGATGAACGCTTTCAAAATACAATGTAAAGAGAAAAAAAGACAACACAAGAGTCTCTTTTGTGATGACTTCGCTGTTCAACCGGATTTGCGAAAATTGGAAAGAAATAGAAGAAGCACCAAAGCTATCGCGATCTTCCACAAGCCATCCTCAATGGCTTTCCTTTGGTCCAAAAGCCTAACAGATTTTTTGGTGAGAGTTTTTTATCCTCTAAACCAGGCTCTTCCCATCGTTTTGGGAAAAACGATGTCTGACTTGGAAGGAAATACTGCATACTCAAACTTTTACCAGTGATGTACATTTTTTCTTGCAAACTGCACATTATGTGTATCTTTTCATTGTGAAAAATTTGGAAACCGTATGTTGGTGAGTCAGACCAGCCATTCACAAACGTTAGTTCGCCCATCGTTATTAATATGAATATAAGAAAGACCTTCCTCTAAGTCTACATTTGAGATCCCTTGACTACATTAAGGCAGATCTCAATCGACTGACTATTACCATCATTAACCACAACACTGCTTTGTCTCGGGGGGAAAGATCCACTCTGGAAAAGATTTTAGATAAGATAAATAAAAAAACAACATCAAATGCGATCAATGAAAAGGTGTTGTTTGAATATCACAGTGCTAACCACATCAGCTGGATTGTTATTTTCATTTTGGATGCATACATACGCAATCCTTCTCGAGTGATTCTCTCCTGCCTAGAACAATTAATGTTTTGTTCAATGGTGTTAAATATTCAGTCGATTGTGATCTTCCTAGGTGTGGTGAGGGAATCTGTAATGTCGACTTAGAGGAAATGTTTTTACAATCATAGTCACTACGATGCCTAATTATACGTTTGTAAAATGGCTGTTCTGACTCAACAACATATTGTTTAATACATTTACAATGTAGAAGATACACAATAGTTGAAGTTTTGCATGTTTTTAATGTAGAAGATACATAATATTTGAAGCCTTGCATGTTTTTAATGTAGTAGATACACAATATTTGTAGTTTTGCAAGTAACATTGCAAAATAATGATGGTAAGTCAGCACAAACGGGACTCTTTTGTTGAGTTTTTTCTCCTCATATTGTAAAAGTTCAACTCGAACGAATTTAAAGTTGTTAACACGAGACAAACCCTTATCAACGTCTTTTCGTCTTTACCCCCGAATTGTTTAGATAACCGCGAAGTTCTTGCAATCCCTTGTTCACAAAATCATTGGTGGAGGAAAATCACTTTATTTGATGGTCTGGCTGTATAAAATGCTCTTGGTGCAGTGTTTTGGATGACAACTCAGGGGAGAGATATTTTGATGTTTGCCTGTGGGCTTATTATATAAGTCCATCCATCACATATGTAGCAGTCTTGGTACAATGAAGTATTCAGCATTGAGAATTTGATGTTCTAATTTAACCAGGAAACATATTGACATGGGACGGGGCAGGCTTTGTTCCCATCGCTGTTCCATTTATCTGGAGATAGTCTTTACCATTGAATGTGAATTTATGCATTTCAATACTATATACAGGCTATAATACCATCTTCATGTGGGATATTAGTATAAAGAGAGGTAACGTCAAGCGATACAATGATTGATTCAGGTGAGAGATGGTTCAAGGATTCCATTTTGAAAAGATAAAGTGTTGTAGCTTGTAATGTATGTAAGATGGTATATACCATCCTATACTCAAGATACACACCATTAATTAATACGACGAATTCTTCATGTGGTGCAGAATCTGCTTACCCTCCCGAAGCACGCAGGTTTTTAGTGGGATTCGTGTTGCTCAGTCTTATTTTTCTATGTTGTGTTTTGTATACTGTTGTTTGTCTATTGATCGTTTTTATTTTTGCCATGACATTGTCAGTTAATTTTTTACTTATGAGTTTGAACATCTTTGGCCTCTCGTTTTGCAGATCAGTGTATTATTTTGTCTATCGCGAAGGAAGATGACGATACTGCTTACCATTTAGTTATATCAAATGTGTTTCTTTTTTATGCATCTAAATATGTGACAAGTTTATGACATTTCACGTTTGATAACCCTGGACTATACAGGCCAAATACCACAACTTAAATATTTTTCGTCACAAATATAGTCAAACAATATAAGATCTGTGAATAAGGTAGCGGGATTTGAACGCCTGCTTCTGTGACATCGCGAAAGCCCTTCCAGCATTATATACAGCGACGTAGACAAGTCGTTACTAGGCGTTTTAAATGTTAAAGTAGAACTTGTCTGTTTAACCCTCTTTTTCGTCTGTTACTAAGTGTTACCGAAAGTAGTTTCTGCGGTTGAAGTTAAATACCAATATTAATTTCCTTTATTAGGTCTTATCATTTACAATTAAATGCTGTTTTTTTTTCTTTTATTAAATTTTCAAATATTTTTGATTTCTGAATAAAATGAATATGTATATCTCTTGCTTCCGAAACGCTGTTCTTAATTTACCTTCAGCAGCCACTCTGGAATCAAACCATTCGAAAACCAAGGATGTGTAAATACTAGGAAACAATAGTAGCTGAAAGGCCAATAATTAACATGTTGAAGTTATCCAGAAAATTTGATGAACATGTTTTGAACAAAATTTTTCCACTCTAAGTCTTCATTTTGAATAAAAGTCCCAATTTCCAGCCTGTGATTATTAAAATACATCTTTATTTTAAGTACGTTTTCCATTGTTTCGAATAAAATGAGATATCCCACACACAGGATTCGAAAATGAATAAATATTATAAATCTATACACAATATTCTTCAGGTGTTCACAAGACATTAATCTTACCGATATGTTTTCCTGTTAAATTATTTCTCAAATGTCAAAAGACTCTCGGAGAATTTTAGATATGCGTGACAGCATTTCCAAAATTCTAAAGTTGAAGGCTTTAATCTTTTCAACAATTAAAAGATAGACAGGAGAAACTAAAAGGACAAAACACTACACGAAAGATCCTACTAACACACGCGGTTGATCTCAAGAGCTCTTGAAGGTAGAGTTGGGCCTGCTTGTCAGCCGGAACTTGTCGTGTTGCTCATGACAAAAAGATTTAGTGGAATTCATCTCAGTTGTGGTAAAATGTAGTTCCCTACCAATCTCATTGCCAATTTCAAGATGTTAGTCAAGATATGAAGCAGACAAAACTGTATTTGTTGTATACTTTTTTTAAGTTCAATGAAATATCTGTGTTCAATATGCTAGTGGTCACCAATCTTTGAAGAAAACTTTGTTAGAGGACATCATTTATGTAGAGGAACGTGTTGTTAAAGGATAATGCTAGCGTATCTATTTCTTCTTGAGAAGCTCTTGTGTGAATTCTGCTTCGAATAAAAAAAGAAACAAGTCGACAAGAAGGAATACCGTTGGTTCCTATAGAAATGCGGATTGTCTGTTGTCCTCAAAACGTAATTAAGAAATGTTGTCAATACATTATGGCAATGACGTCTTTTTCAAAGAACTTGAATGATTCATTCAGAGTATTCTTTTACAAAGTAGATTTACCCCTTCCTAAAACAAGATATTTTCACCTAAATTGGCCATTCTTTTTTTTTAAACAAAATGAGACTTTATTTGGAATCTCGTTTTAAGCTTGAGGAATACTTGTGTAAAGGGTAGGGAAGACAAATGTTTACTCAGAACGAGGTAATAAACCTTCACCGTATGAACTCTTAACAGTTCATTGAACTGTTTTAGTACCCACATTTGATTCACAACGCCTCTAGAGTAGGTAGTTTCACAGTAACTTTGAATCCCGGTTTTGATTGCTGATAATATAGATGTTAATAATTTGGAAAGAGGTTTAATGGTTCAATCAATACAATGTTGTTTGTAATGACGCATGTGAATTAGTAATTTGGGTATTCAGTGCAGTAAAAGAACACCCAAATTCTTCATCTTGGGTTGATGTTCCAAAGTAACATAGAACAGACCTTTGGTTGTCCAGTATACCTCTTTTTGGAAGTGTCGTCGGAGTATATTGTCGGTTTGCGAGTAATTTGTCAACATTATTCTAATTCCTTTATCAAGCAGTTTATAAAAGGTTTTTTCCAAACACAATCGGTATTGTAGGGATCTATGTCCGCGCGCAAATAATATTTTTTATGGAGGTATGACAGGTGTTTAGCAAAATTTTGTAGTTCTGTGCCGTATTGCATAGGGGATATATCCCCGCATTTACCGCATTATATATGTTTTAATGATGTATTCCGTAAGAAACGTCTATCGATAAAATTGCTAAATACAAACACACCAAGGGTGACTGGGGAATATAAATATGGTCACTTTGGTCTTCTTCCG